GGCGGGCACGGCCGCGGCCGGCCTCGCCGCGCTCCTCTGCTGCCTCCTCCGCTGCTTCCTCTCCTGAGTCACCTGCCGAGCTCTGGTTTGTTTGGCTTTCAAACCCGGATCGCCAGCTTTGAAAAGGACAGGGAAAGGCCACCCGTTTTAATGAGCGAGGCTGGCTGAACGCAGGCAGGGAGAGAAGGCATCTCCTTCCCAAGGTGAAGATGGGGTTTCTCGCAGCACCATCTCCCATCTCCTTGCTCTCACTTCTTGCCTGGGTACTTACGGATCTGCTGTGTCCGTGGGATGGGATTGCTCCGGCTGCTGCTGCCAGGGATAACCCTTGTTATCCCTGGGCTGATCTTCAGCCTGGGGTGAGCTGAGGCACTCTAAAGCCTTCCAGGACCATCTCTTCAGCAGGGGAACATGTGAATTCCTGAGTCCTTTCTCACCAGAGGCCATGCCCGGGTCGGTCTCCTCCAAGCCCTTGGCCCTGGCTAATCCCACCTTAGGTGGGAGATGCCCTCTGCTTTCCTGGAGATTTAACGAAAAGCCTTAAATCAGTCCATGGGGAACTGACAATAAATCATCTCGCAAGGAAGAGGTGTCCGCCCGACGCGCTCTGCCCAGCCCTGCGTTCCTGCAGCCGGAGCGATCCCGGGACGTTCCCTGCGGCTCCGCGGGCCCAGGCGAGCGGCGCCCTCAGCGCTGGCAGCCCCGGGGCCTCCTGCAGCGTTCGGCGGCTCCTGGGGGCCTCCTGGCACTTCCCTGGGATGGGTGTCCGGGCGCAGCAGCTGCCTCCCCCACACCCTCTTCATTAATGAAGCGCAGAGCAGCGCCCGGCTCCGGCGCTTCCAGAATTTCCGCTGCTCTTTCCCCGGCCCGTTCCCACGTTGCTCCCAGGCCGAGCGCGCCGCAGCCGCTCTCTAAAGGTCACTGCTCGAGAGCAAAGTTTAGGAACCTCTCGGCCCGGCCTGGAGCTCCAGCCCCGCTCCAGCCACCCGGGAACACCGCAGCCGGTGCTAACCCTCCGCCGCCGGCTGGTCTCCTCCCCTTTCTTTATGTTTT